CTATTCATTGTTGTGTCTCCCAAAATGCGTAATAAACATGCTTTTAGTCCTCATATGAGGACATGTATGAAATCAAGTCATATTTTGATTTGAAACCTCATAACATTTTCCTGAGATGTTGATTTATGACACAGTTTAAAAATGAGTCAGATTTAAATGATAATTACAAAATATTATCATATTTCCATAAGAGTGTCACTAAATTAATACCAGACGTTTTTGAAGACCAAGAAGAGGGAGTGGTCATAGTGAAACATCCAAACATTTAGTATCTCTGAAAAGCCCTGAATGTGCTCTGTACAGGACATCCAGACTTCAAACTGTGGCATGTATAGTCTCAGAGAAATTCACTAAAATATTATGTCCTCATACGAGGATGCAGGGTCTCAGGTGGTTAAGAATCATAAACTTGTGTTGGTCACAGAGCTTATTTAATGCCATAATCCAAAAGCCAATGTTAAAATTCTGTTGGGTTTTTGCTGAGGGGACCAGGGTGACGATAACTTTTGTGTTGGCCTACAAAATGAATCCCTGCAGGTATTATTGCCATTGCATTGGTGTATTAACCAGGGTTAAGGAAAGTTACTTTTAAAAGTAAAGCATTACAATATTGTGTTACTCCCTAAGAAGTAACTAATTGCATTACTTTTTATGGAAAATAATGTGTCATGTTACTTTTGCGTTACTTTTCCTTATCTGAGATGGGCTTGCTTGTTATATTTTTGGCAAATGTAAAAACCCTTTCACACAAAAAGTGAAATGAATAAGCTTCAGACTGAAGGAAATGTAAATTCATGTCTGTACAAACCTTTCAGCTGTGCTGCCTTTCTGGATTGCAGAAGAAACATGACAAAGGAAAAGAAAGTTCAACACTCTTACTTCAGCAATAAAACACGAATGTGATGTTTAGCTAGTCATTTTTGCTGATTCGTATAGTTGAAATGGATCATGGAAGGTCAGGAGCAAAGGTCTGCACTTACTCCCGATTTTCTTGCAAATTAAAAAGTAATGCATTATTTTACTAGTTACTTGAAAAAAGGTAATCCGATTACGTAACTTGTGTTACTTGTAATGCATTACCCCCAACACGTATTAAATATTACGTGTTAGCCTCACAACAGTTTTCCAAAACGTCCAAATAGCTATTTGGTTGACATTAACCAATACTGCTGTACAACCCCCCAAAAAGTTGTAACTAGCAGCACTTGTAACTTCATGTTGAGTTTAAGATCTACAGCAATGAAGACAAACAGGACATATCAATTTGTTACATCCATTTTCTATTGTTTTATTATGTTCAATCACACCTCAGCAGAGAATGAAGTGGCCCCCTGGTGACTGAGACATTTATAACGGCACATTCACACTCCGATCAACACGAACATGCATTCATCCACCCGCTCGCGCACATTTGTACGATCTGTGCTTTTCTCATTCTCACACATACAATGTAACAGAAGTGGTGAAATGTCCTGTCAAGGATACCGAAATATCCCTGGTAAGATCTAGCTGTGTAGACACACAAAACCAAGCCTTGTTTTGATTGAGCTATCATACTGTAGAATTTATCAAAGTATATTAGAATGGAGTATAAGTTAAGAGCAATTTAATTACTTTTATTAATACATTGAGCGACCACCACCTTCAGTGGCAGGACAGGAAAGTCCCTCTCACAAACGAGGGTCCCTGACACCAACAGCTCAGTAGAACTACAAATGGAGGGCATCACAATTACATCTGAAGTGCGTCGGTTAGTGCTCTTTTTTTTACGAATTTTGTTCAACAGTCTGGGAAGTTTGATATTGTTGCACCTTCATTCTTTAAAAACTATACACAGAACAAAGTCCAACAATAACAGGAAAGAGTTAGTTATTGAAAACGAGCGCCCAAACGGATGTGTCATTGGTCATTGTTCACGTCAGTGTATGGTTTGGTATGGGGCTGGTTTATGATGTTGGGGACCAGCGAGCCACCGGTCAGATGCTTCAGTCCAGCTCTATGGGGCTGCTGTCCTCCTGAGCTTCCTCACCCTCTTCCTCCTCGCCTGAGCCCATTAGACTATTCAATAGGTTTCCTATTACAAAGAAATCAAATCAGAATCTTATTTTTTTTAATTCTTCACAACAAATCATTAGATTAAACCGTGCTGTGTATTATGCTGAACAAAAACACAAGTACAGAAAAATGGTTTGACCCATTTTATTATTCCACCATGGAATAAAAAAAAAAAGAAAGAAACCTGACTTTTTAATCTCGCAATTCTGACTTTTTTTTCTTTGCAATTCAGAAAAAAGAAAAGAAAACGTTTATTGTGAGAGAAGTCACACGCACCTTTTTATTCCAAGGCAGAAATAAGTATCCATAGTTTTCTATTTCAAATTTCATTTTTTCCCCCAAATGTATACCACTTTTCACAATAAACATTTGTTTTAAAGCAGCTTTACAGAAAATCATGGTAAAGTTTATAATATCTTATCTTCACGCGTTATAGTCATAGCAGATTTTTTAATTCTTCACAACAAATCATTAGATTAAACCGTACTGTGTATTATGCTGAACAAAAACACAAGTACAAAAAAATGGTTTGACCCATTTTATTATTCCACCATGGAATAAAAAAAAAGAAAGAAAACTGACTTTTTAATCTCGCAATTCTGACTTTTTTTTCTTTGCAATTCAGAAAAAAGAAAAGAAAACGTTTATTGCGAGAGAAGTCACACGCACCTTTTTATTCCAAGGCAGAAATAAGTATCCATAGTTTTCTATTTCAAATTTCATTTTTTCCCCCAAATGTATACCACTTTTCACAATAAACATTTGTTTTAAAGCAGCTTTACAGAAAATCATGGTAAAGTTTATAATATCTTATCTTCACGCGTTATAGTCATAGCAGATTAAAGCTGGATAATAATGTAGCTTACATTTTGCGACGATTCAAATATTTAAGCAGGTGAGATTATTGTATATATAGCATACTTTATATCGCCCTACATCAGTACATTATGTATGTGGATAAAGTTGGATATAAATAATTACACACACACACACCTGCAATAATACATTTATATTTTGCAATGATATTAGATTTGCTATATCATACATATTGCATTACATGACTATACTGTATGCATGCAGATAAAGTAGGATTTACTGTATAACTTAATATATCGCTGGACAACCATATAGCTTACATTTTTCAATGATATAACAAGCAGTTTGCTATATAATTTGCTATACAGTACATGCAGCTTAAGTGTAAGTGTACTGTACTGTAATTTTGGATATACGTATAGTAGTTTTATTATTCATTATTCATTTGAGTTATTAATTCAAAATGTGGAGATAATGAGCAATATGAAACCTGTGGTGTTTTGTTCAATTTTGAACAATTTGGTGTAGCGCCAAGCCTTGGTGATGTGCATCACTGACTGTCATTCATTCATGTCATGACCAGTATTCACACAGAGGTAGCAATGTTTCTTACCTAGCAAACCGCCATATGATGACGACTGATTAGGTGGCACTCCAAAAAACAGTTGTCCTATTCTATCCAGATACTGAGGTCAAGAGAAGAACATATTGCATGTTAAACACAAAGTCCAAAAGTCTTATCTCATATCAAATCCATGCCACATTATAACAGTGAAAGTGAATCTCTCTGAATGATGCCTGCAACCTTTAACATGTTTTACTGTGTGTATTTGTTTTATGTAACTGTATCCTTATTACATTAGCTTAGCATCAAGGCAACGTCAAACTCTTTTGTAATCTACTGTGCAGACAGCTTATTAGGTCAAAAGCAGAACCCTTTTATCTCTAGGTACTGAGAAAGAAAAAAAGGATGTTTGTGATATGTTTAAGAGCATTACTATTACTAACTCACCTCATTGTACATAGGGTCTCTCTTCAGTGATGGCTGATACTGCTCGCATAACACTGTGAAGACTGTCAACTTCCCACTTGAAATAAAACCACAATCATCCAGAGGTTGTGTTAACCGTTTTGTTCCATCATTTGCTTAAACACTGATGGATGATTCAAAATGTCAGATAAAGTTACTTAGTCTAGCGCATACCTTCAACTCCAGTCCTAGATGAACAGTGTCTGGAAGACTTTAGAAACACTCCAATGAAACCCATGTGTCTGTAATTTACAAGTAATTCTAAACATCTTTAACAGCTTGTTCACATATGCTTGATTAGAGTTAGAGATACACTCAGCAGGACAATGGCCCTCTAGGACTGGAGAATGAAGAGCTCTGGTCTGTTGCGTTTCCACAGTAAAGGATGCTAAGAGGCACCAGAAGTGAAGAGAAGGGGAGAAACATCAAATTTTAAAAGCTGGGGAAAAGGCGTAAGTGAAAAGTAGTGGGGAGAAAGTCTAGAGGAATCAGTCATGGGATATGGTTTCTTAAATCAGGTCACCAGATCATAAGATCACACCATTGTTTTTTCTCACATTACAAAAGAAAAAGAAAAGGCCAAGAACCTGCAACACGGCTGTTAGTAAGACTAAAATAACTCAGTCACACGGATATCAAATGGCACTATTCTTACTCCTGCATAAAAACAGAGCAGCAGACCAGAAAATGCCCACTCAGACTGTCAAAGTGAATATTTGTAGAATTTTGTCTCAGAATTTTAGAATATAGATCAGGGGTTCTCAACTCTAGGTCCATTTTCTTGCATAGTTTAGCTCCAGTCCTAATTAAACACCTAAACAAGCTAATCAAGGTCTTCAGGATTACTAGAAAGTAGTGCTGGGCGGTATAGCGGTTCATACCGAATACCAGTGTTTATTTTTGTTAGGATATGAATTTTTAAAATACAGCAATACCGGTGTATGTCGCTTAAACAACGTTCGGAACGCGACACTGTTTGAAAGGGGTCCGTTAATTTTTGGTCATACTGCCCAGCACTACTAGAAAGTTACCGGCAGATAAGTTTGATCAAGGTTGGAACAAGAAAGTGGACCTCGAGAGACTGAGCTGAGAATATAAAACGGAATGCTCTATAATAGAGAGAAAGGGCCTGATGCTGACAGTATCTCACCCGTCCACAGCCAGCAGGAGGAACCACAGGAAGTTCAGCAGAGGCTGCACATACGGAGGACCCTTCTCTATAGACGGGTGCTTCTGTGTGTATGTGGTGAACACCACCAATGCGCTTGTCTTATTTTTTAAACAAAGGAACCTGCAGTCAAGAAAAGATACTGGAGATGTATACCAATCATAAAAAAAATAAGCATTCAACAAATTTACTGAATGTGACGATATTAGTTTAAATCACTGCACTTTAACCCATTTTATAAAAGCAGGAATAAAAAAAAATTCATACATCATAAAAGCAGTCCATACGACTTCTGCACTATTTTACAATTCTTCTGAATGCTATTTATATGATAGCTTGTGTGAAACAGATCCAAACTTAAGTTGTTTCCTTTCATTTTCGCTTCACTTCACATTGTGTCAGTAGCTTAGAAAACACTGTGGGTGCATCTCAAATGGAAGGCTGCATCCTACGAATGCTGCATATCTCAGCTGCCAGCCTGCCACGTCATCAAATGTCGCTGAAGGCCATCTCAATCGGAAGGATCCTTAGGCCCTGTCCCAAATGGAAGACTTCATGTTCACTCCCGCGTGCGTGTGTCCATTAAGTCCACGAGACCTTAGGGCAGGGTTCCTCAAATCTTGCCCAGGAGGGCCAATGCGCTGCAGAGTTTAGCTCCAACCCTGATCAAAGTCACCTACCTGTGATTTTCTAATGATCCCGAAGACATTGATTAGCATGCTCAGGTGTGTTTGATTAGGGTTAGAGCTAAACTCTGCAGGAAAGTGGATCTCGTAGGCCAGATTTGAGGATCCCTGCCTTAGGGTGTCCCATTTGTCATTTTAGTGTTCTGAAGGGTGCTCGCGAGCGCCCCCTTTACGGCCGTTATGTGCCCTCGATCCGCACTTCTGCCAAGCCCGCACTGGTGCGAGCTCCGCAGCAGACTTCTACCCGACAGTCAAAGCGGCATTACGTCATGAAAGTGCGGACTCAGAGGAAGACCGCGAGGGTTTAGTGTGCCAATTGGGATCGGTCCTTAGAAGGCAGTCTTCGTTTTGCCTCCTTCATTCAGCTGAATTTGAAGAATGCATGGGATGTATACTTTTATACACTTTATATACTTCTAGCGTTCAATGCCAAGAAGGACTCTAGCCTACAAGCCTCCGAAGGACTGAACTAGGAAGGACACAGCCTCGGTAGGATGCAGCCTTCCGTTTGAGAAGCACCCAGTGTAAACTCTGGCCAATGGTGTTCAAGTGTGCCTAACAATTTTACTCAGTCTGAAGAAGAAGCCCAAAGACTAAGATCCCGTCATTGAGAAGCACCTCTGCAGCTGACAACATAGCAAATCGACACCCGCTGCATGCCTACCAAGAAAAGATTAGAGCATTATTTCCTATCTAAAAAAGCAAATTGCTCCCAAAGGCACGTTGCTTCAAACGGACCCTTTGTGTAAGGGTCCCCTCAAGCTGTCCAATGGGCATGAGAGCTGCGTGTTCTGCCTGGGCTATGCCCACACTGAAGCCTCTCTCAGTGACACTGACTGTCCTCACTGCAAAGACATGAGTCTCAGGATGCTGCGCTTTAGGGTTGCCTTCATTTTAGAGGATGACTCTGCTTCTTGTGCTCCCCTGTCTCCTACTTCTTTGCCATGGAAGCAGCAGCAGAAGAGCTTTTCGGCAACAATCTCATGCCAACTCCTGCATGTCTTGCACTCACCTGAACCTACATCCTCGCCCGTACTGTTTGCACGAGCTGACATTCGCCCCTCCCCTAAAGCCAATGGGGATGAAGCCATGTCACTGGCTGCCTCTGAGGAGGAAGAATAGTCAAGTGTGGTGGAAGAGTGAATCGGATGAGTCCCTCTCGAGTCTGAAGTCGAGAATTTTTGTGTACTTTCCAAGGCTGTGGAAGAACTTGGTTGTGGTTGAGCTGCTGCGCAAAGAGTCTAACGCTATGTGCCACTTTTTACTGAAGAGAGAAAGCTTAGCCCCTCATGCTCTTCGTCTTTGTATGTTCATCCATTTATTAAAGTGGACCTGAAGGTTGCTTATTTTCATGTCCCAATGGTTCCTCATCACAGATGAGGGAATTCGAAGGAACAATGTACCAAATACACTGACCTTGCATTCAAGCTGTGTCTATACCCAAACACATTCACAAAGTGTGTAAATGCTGCTCTCTCCCTTTTGAAAATGAGCAGAGTTTGTGTTTTGAATTCTCTCAATCACTGCTTATTAATGTCCCAGTGAAGTCTTATGTGAGCACAATACTCTGCTGCTCAATTGTATGCAGTCTTTTGGGTTAAAAGTCAATATGCCGAAAAACGTGTTGGAACCCAGCCAACACATTTCCATTTTAGTCATAGAGTTGAACTCCCTGACTATGCAAGCGCATATTATAGTGGAGAACTCAAAGACAATAGGAGCTTTCGCACCAGATAGTTATAGGAACTTAGTTATAGGAACTAGCCACCAAGGCTAAAATGTTCCCCAGGGCCATTTTCTTGGTTGCATTTGAACCGCCAGTAGGAACTGACATAAGCCTGCCAACAGCGATGCCATTTAAGAGCAGAAAAAACTCCTGTACAGTTCTGTACAGTGGAGAACAACATATGGAGTATCATGTTTACTTCAAATTTCATTACTGTGAAACATGCAGTGCATATATTTATTTAATTAAACATTGCAGTCTTTGCCATTTCATAATTGTATTACGCAAAACCATGATTTTGGTTTTATTTCAATGTGCAGCCCTAAATCAACGTATAAGGTTAGAACCTCAGACACTTTGATCTCCTGAGACGGACAATACATACACAGTGTATTAACATACAGACATCTGTTTCCACATCTCACTGAGAGAATATGTGGGAAAACGCCTCCCTCACATATGCATTAGTTCATTTTCATCCCCTTCCTTCCCCTTACCCATCCTCCCTCCACTCAGCTCACCCAGAATGGTCACTAGTATAATATAATATTCTACGTGATATTTACAGTAATGTTTGGTATCATTTGAAATGTCTCTGTGCGTATGGTACAATGGTCTCAATCTTACAAGAAGTAGACTAAAAGGTAGGACTTCCCCCCAACAGTCAACTAACCATTAAAGGTTAGGCTAAAAGGTAATACGAATTCTAAGAGTTTGGAGATATTTTGCTCACTGTAGAGGGTGTGTCATTTTCCCAGTACTTTTCATGCAAATTACCATTGGTCTCCAAAAGGTGTTAATTCGGCTTGATCAATACAAATTCAAATTGTTAGTTCCTGTCTCCATTTTGGAGAATGCTTGGTTTGACGGAGGTATTTAAGGAAATGTTGCAAGAAGCTCAGGTGCGATTCTGTAGCCAGAAGCCCGTAGTGTGGTGTGTGTCTCTACACTCCATACTATGTATTTTTCTAAAGTCAGGTATGCATTTTTTACTATTAGATTTATCTTTGAGAATTTGATGTTTTGTATTGATATGATTTGATATCTCTGAATTGGCTATGTAATTGTCATAATACATACAGGTGCATCTCAATAAATTAGAATGTTGTGGAAAAGTTCATTTATTTCAGTAATTCAACTCAAATTGTGAAACTCATGTATTAAATAAATTCAATGCACACAGACTGAAGTAGTTTAAGTCTTTGGTTCTTTTAATTGTGATGATTTTGGCTCACATTTAACAAAAATCCACCAATTCACTATCTCAACAAATTAGAATATGGTGACATGCCAATCAGCTAATCAACTCAAAACACCTGCAAAGGTTTCCTGAGCCTTCAAAATGGTCTCTCAGTTTGGTTCACTAGGCTACACAATCATGGGGAAGACTGCTGATCTGACAGTTGTCCAGAAGACAATCATTGACACCCTTCACAAGGAGGGTAAGCCACAAACATTCATTGCCAAAGAAGCTGGTGACCTCTGACTAGAAATAATGTTGCTTTATTCAAGTGTGTACACATCTATGGGGGCTAAATAAAAGTACTTTTAGAATGAGTAAGCATAGAAGCGGCCGTCTAAAGTATTAGTCAATTACCAATTGTCTAATAACCAAGACTGACGAGACCGTAAGGTACGCTAACGGCCGAAGCGATATCTTTGAGCGACATGAGCACCCGAATGCTAGGTCATAATAAAATGGAGTCATATTTGCATTTAACCTAAATTTAAGAATTTTGCGTGCTGAAAAGACCGCAAAAACACGCAAGAAACCTTCAGCCACCATTGGATACCTTCCTTGGGCCAATTGTGTGGACCTTACAAACGTACACTTACATCACTTGTAGTTCCTATTATGCGGGGTTAGGCCCTCTCCCAAATGCATTCCTAGAGCCAAATTTGTTCCCAGTTTCTGTGGTGCAAGCACGCCAAAAGTGGGAACTTCCACCATTAGGAACTATGAAATACCACTGCTGCGAAAGCCCCTAATACTCAATTTTTTGATGAAATGGGGATCGTTCTTATCCTCAAGATTTTTCAGAGAGCTCTGGGGCTGATGGCAGCAGCGTCAACTACCGCTAGGGCTGCTACACATGCACTCTATAGTGCCAAACTGTTACCTCAGCGCTCTGGCACCATGGACAGTGCACAGCTTTTATCAAAAAGACATGGACATGTTCCAGATTTCCAAATGAAAGAAAATCCTAACAGATGTCTCCAAGCATGGGTTCAGGTGTGTAGTGCAATGGCAGACCAGCTTTCGGCATCTGGACAGATGTAAAGAAAGCATGGCACATCAATTGAAATGAAAGCACTTCCTTTCAATACAGCGCTACTACTTGCTCTGGCTTCAGTGAAGCAAGTAGTTAATATGCAGGTGCTTTAGGTTACCTCTGTCTAGACCCATCTCTTTAACCTGGCTTACACATAACACACTAATAAGCTTCTAATATTCAAATCCGTTAAAGGATTTTTAGGCTGCATTTATTAGGTCAACCGGAACCGGGAACACTTCTCATAACACCCGATGTACTTGCTACATCGTTAGAAGAATGGCATCTAAATGAGTAAGCATAGAAGCGGCCGTCTAAAGTATTAGTCAATTACCAATTGTCTAATAACCAAGACTGACGAGACCGTAAGGTACGCTAACGGCCGAAGCGATATCTTTGAGCGACATGAGCACCCGAATGCTAGGTCATAATAAAATGGAGTCATATTTGCATTTAACCTAAATTTAATAATTTTGCGTGCTGAAAAGACCGCAAAAACACGCAAGAAACCTTCAGCCACCATTGGATACCTTCCTTGGGCCAATTGTGTGGACCTTACAAACGTACACTTACATCACTTGTAGTTCCTATTATGCGGGGTTAGGCCCTCTCCCAAATGCATTCCTAGAGCCAAATTTGTTCCCAGTTTCTGTGGTGCAAGCACGCCAAAAGTGGGAACTTCCACCATTAGGAACTATGAAATACCACTGCTGCGAAAGCCCCTAATACTCAATTTTTTGATGAAATGGGGATCGTTCTTATCCTCAAGATTTTTCAGAGAGCTCTGGGGCTGATGGCAGCAGCGTCAACTACCGCTAGGGCTGCTACACATGCACTCTATAGTGCCAAACTGTTACCTCAGCGCTCTGGCACCATGGACAGTGCACAGCTTTTATCAAAAAGACATGGACATGTTCCAGATTTCCAAATGAAAGAAAATCCTAACAGATGTCTCCAAGCATGGGTTCAGGTGTGTAGTGCAATGGCAGACCAGCTTTCGGCATCTGGACAGATGTAAAGAAAGCATGGCACATCAATTGAAATGAAAGCACTTCCTTTCAATACAGCGCTACTACTTGCTCTGGCTTCAGTGAAGCAAGTAGTTAATATGCAGGTGCTTTAGGTTACCTCTGTCTAGACCCATCTCTTTAACCTGGCTTACACATAACACACTAATAAGCTTCTAATATTCACGTGAGCAAATTAGGTAACGTGGTCGAAAACGCACCTCCGTTTTGGCATCGCCCACCGATCTGGTAACTCCATTTACTGTCCTGTAGAGACCTATACTTGGTTTTCTCTCAACGGCTCCACTCTTGATCCGGGCCAGGCCAGGCCAGCTCTGTACTACAACATGGTGTGATTAGACACTGTTCCCCAGAGAGTCAGTTATATTGATGCAGTGTCAAGTGATTGAAAGGGAAAATCTCAGGTTGCGTAACCTCATTTTTCACAAGATGAGGAAATGAGACATTGCGTACAACCTTCTAAGATGTGCTATGCCTCTTTGCCTTCAGTGAAAAGATTCTGAGAAATTGGTGAACAGCACCACTTTATACATGCAGAAAGCCCTCCATCAATTACGCGCACTTGAACGCCATTGGCCAGTGTTTTACACTGAAGTTAGAGCTGTACGATTAATCGAAATTAAAGGGGTCATATGATGCGATTTCAATTTTTCCTTTCTCTTTGGAGTGTTACAAGCTCTTGGTGCATAAAGAAGATCTGTAAAGTTGCAAAGACTAAAGTCTCAAATCCAACTTTTTAGCAGCATCATATGACCCCTTTAAACTATAATCGCGATTCGGCAAAGGCTACATTTTTGTCAAGCACAGCTTGTCAGTGAAACACGGTTCTGTGATCAGTAGTAAATCTCCATCCAAAGGCCAGAAGGCCTGAAACTCCAAACATGCCCAGCAGAAAAAAGGTAATGCACGTAGTTCCAGGAAATCCCATATAGTGGTAGCTGAATAAACAGAAGATTGAACTTCATTCAATGCATGAAAAAAGCCATAGAAGCTGGCATGGCGTTAAATACAAACAAACAACAATGATTTTATTTTAAACACTCGACTGACGTTATGAAGTGAGTCTGGAGTAAAAATGTTATTAAATATCGTCTTTTGGACAAGAGGTTCATAAATGCTTCTCATGTTTGGAAAGATGTTGCTTTTTAAAATGCATGTTATAAGCAGCTCAATCATTTACTGATAAAACATTTACTACTGGTCACAAAGCCATACCTCACCAACAAGCTGCGCATAACAGCTTTCACAATTTCATAATCGCACTAAACCGAACGATTTAATCGCGATTTCGTTTCGATTTCAATTAATTGTGAAAAGTTAATCAACAGGGCTTCTGTATTTTTGGAGAAAGGTGTTTTACATAGCTTCAGCAACTGATGTAATATCTCGTTCCCTCAGGGAACAAAGTTTATTTAGGGGTGTAACGGTACACGTATTCGTACCGAAACTTTTATAGTAATAGGCAGGCGCCTTAGTTCAAACGGCAGCACGGAGGATAAGTGAGCGTGATCATCCCTATCTCTTTACTACTAGTTTTAAGAGTGAAATAAACATGAATGCCACATGTAGGGCTGGGTATTGAGTTCGATACTTTTTAGGCACTGACCGAATTGCCTCAATACCATCGAGTATCGAAAAACGTCTCGTCGTTCGGTACCAAATTTCGATACCTAAGAGGTTAATCTCATCAGCGTCAGTGAGCCAATAAAGGCCCAGGTATACTTCACTTTCCGCGTTCCGTTCCGCGCTCAGCCGTGTCCGCACAGCTTTCAAAGTATACTCAACCGCGGATGAGTGCAGACGGACAAGCTCAACACAGGCGCAGTTTGACTTGCGCTCTGTCTCAACTTTCACCTCGCGCATGCGCTGTTGTACGCGGACCGTCTGCGCGGTCTCAGAAAATTGCGTGCATGCGGACGGGGTGCACGGCTGTCCGCGAGCCCTCCTGATGACGAAAATGACATAATGTGGATGCGGATGGCCGAAGTATACTTTGGCCTTAAGCCTGCAACGAAAATGACGTAATGTGGACGCGGACGGCCGAAGTATACTTTGGCCTTAAGCCTGCAGCACTAGCCGGTGTGTTCGACTAGAAGAGGTGCGGCGCAGATCAATCAGTGTTTAAAGTCCCCCTGTAGTGAAAATCAAGTTTTTTATGTTGTTTATTTGTCTATGTGGTGTTTTTTAT